TCTGTAATGTTGATTCTTCCAATCTCATAGTTTCTATTGTATTTGTTTTTTTAACTAATTGAGTAATTTATGATGATTCTTTGAGGACTATTGTGTGATTTATGGTGTTTTTTCTTCCAAGATGAGAGTTTATGTAATACACGATGTATGTTTGTTCTCAATAGTCTTAGTAGTCTATGGTGTTTCTGTAAGGACTATAGTATGATATACCATGTTAGTTATTTCCACCTGAGAGTCTCTATGTTATGTGGTGTTTGTTTGTTCTCAAATGACCGAGTCATCTATGATGTTTATATAAGATTATGTGCTCTCCGACATTGGTTCTTTAATATGAGAGTTTCTATAACACATGATGTTTGTTTGTTCTTAACTTACTAAGTAGTCTATGATGTTTTGTTGGGGATTTTATTGTGATTTTAATGTAATCAGTTCTTCCAATGTGAAAGTTAAAAAGTGATTAGTAACTTGTTTTGTTATTTACCGAGTAGTCTATGATGTTTCTTCAATGACTATGTTGTGCTATATGATGTTTGTTTGTTACTAACTAACTCAGTACTTTAGATGCTAGCTGAATCTTGATTGGTTGCTCCATCTTTTAAGGAATTTCCTAATTTTACATTTTTACTTCAATGGCATTATTGCATTCCTCACAAATTCTTGACTCACCAAAGGAATCTCTAGGAGGCCTTGTTAGTGTGATCACACCATGCCACCATCCTCAGCTCTATGATGATTTGTTATCCTCTATGACCTTAAATGCACACACATATACATACATATTCCGTTGGTAAAAAAGAAGAATGATTTACATGTTTAGTCCCGAAATCTACTTACCTTGATTTCTCCGTTTTTCTCCCAATTGCGGCACAATTTCATGCACCATACTTAAGCCTTCTTAAATGTGATTGACATAGTCATGCATTGAGAATGTATAGTATACTTTTACCTACTTGGGGTGATTGGTATTTATGGTTCCCCGTCAATTTCATAATCTAGTTCATTTATAGGTGTAGAGTCAACAACAGGTGATTCAAAGAATGAGCAATCTGATCCTTATAAGGATGCCCTTAATTATCCATACATATTGTCTATTGATGTTGTTTGCCGTAGTGAATGTATTGTCCTAAAGAACCTTAGTTCCAACATATTTACATTAGGGTACTAGGTGAATCACATATTAATTATTTAACATTAAACCTATTTGAAGTAGCTTCTTTGATGAGGTCTTGCATTATCATGTTTTTAAGTAAATACTCTTAATTGGACCACTCGACTACTTAGCTCTAATAGGGAAGCAACACTTTGAGAAAACATGCATTTTTGTAAATTTCCTTTGTGATCAAGATGATTTCTTTCTCTTCAATAGAGCCAACTTCTCTCTCTCTCTACCTTTTCTCTTCACTGGTTTGTTGGGCTAATATGGAGTCTTGCATTATCTTGTTTTTTATGAACAATGTTCTTATTTGAATCACGCGACCACTTTACTTTAATGGGAGACAACATTTTCGTTAGATCCTTTTGCAAACTTCCTTTGTGAATTGCAGTCGAGAATTCTCGAGTCGAGATGATTAGTTTTTCCTCATCAAGAGTGCTAACTTCTACATTTTTTCTCTTTCTCTTTGTTGGTCCGATGATAGGAAATTGAAAATACCTCCATTTTACATTCAAATATAACATCTCCTTTGTCTCCAAAATTGGGTAGAGCAACTTAAAAAGCATCACTTTATTGATGAATCTTTTAGACATGCATGTCGATGTCGTATGAGGATCAAGCTCCTCAAATGGAGGTAGTATATGTACGATGTTTGTTAGGCCCGAATGGGCCTATGGCTGTGTATTTTTGGGCTAAGGGCTCTATTTCTCTAGCGTAGCTTTGTTCATATGAGTATATATATACCAGACCTCCTTGTATATTAAACGCATGAATACAAACTGATTTACTCTAATATTTTACTCCATATTTAGCTTATTCTCTCCTTATTCAGCATGGTATCAGAGCCACCTAGGGCGGTGGTGTAACTCGGAATTGCAGACCTCGGCCGTACAGCACCAATGTGCCTAGTGCGACGATAATGGTGGATCCTACATCCCCATACTACCTCGGCCCAGGCGATCAGCCTGGGAATCTGATTACTCACGTTATGTTCAAGGGAGATAACTACGTAGCGTGGTCTCGTGCTTTCTCCCTCTCCTTGAAGGCATGCCGGAAGCATGTCTTTATTGACGGAACCGAGACTAAGCCGGCAGAAGCCGCAAAACAGTTGGACTGGGAAACAACCAATTCAATGGTGGTTTCATGGATATTGCGGAGCATGGAATCATCGGTGGCCGCCTCTATCCCCTTCCACGATGAAGCTCAACCCTTATGGCTCTATCTCGAAAAGAGATTTTCTGTAGCCAATGGGCCGAGATTACAGCAACTGCGGTCCTCAATTATAACGTGCAAGCAGTCCAAAGGCATGACGGTGGATGCCTACTACACGGCCCTCATGAGTCTCTACGACGAGTTGAATAGGTTGAGACCCTTGCACGCTTGCACTTGCGGACGGTGTACGTGTGGAGTTGTCAAGAAATTTGCGGCGGACCAGGATGAAGAACAACTTCATCAATTTCTCATTGGAATTGATGATGATGTTTACGGGACTGTGAGATCGAATTTACTGTCGCAGGACCCATTGCCAGACATTGACCGTGCTCATCATGCATTTCTTCAAGAAGAAAACTCCAAGGCCATATCTGTAACACCTCGGCCCCGTGGGACCCGAGGTAGTTACTTCAGATCTCTAGTACTGTCCTCACAAACCACCACAAGCCTTTACCGCGCACTTTGTCCTCACTCATGCGCGCCCTGAGAAACTTCCCAGGGGGTCACCCATCCCAAGACTACTCCCGTGCAAGCACGTTTAACCTTGGAGTTATTGGGTGATGAGCTCCCTTAAAAGGAGATGCACCTCTGTTGGTATGAGTAGTACTATTAATCCTCTTAAATTAATCTCGGGTATTACAATCACCCCCACTTAGGATCGCAACGTCCTCGTTGCGCCCTTAAACCAATCTCAATCAAACCCCAGAATCTTTTCCCCTGCTAAGTGTCTGCCCGATATCTAACGGATCAGCACACTGTCGCAGCATATTGTAATACCCGAGATTAATTTAAGAGGATTAATAGTACTACTCATATCAACAGAGGTGCATCTCCTTTTAAGGGAGCTCATCACCCAATAACTCCAAGGTTAAACGTGCTTGCACGGGAGTAGTCTTGGGATGGGTGACCCCCTGGGAAGTTTCTCAGGGCGCGCATGAGTGAGGACAAAGTGCGCGGTAAAGGCTCGTGGTGGTTTGTGAGGACAGTACTAGAGGTCTGAAGTAACTACCTCGGGTCCCACGGGGCCGGGGTGTTACAAATTGGTATCAGAGAGCCCAAGGTTATTTTCTAGGGATTTTTCACAATATTTTTCAAAAAAGTTTTCCAAACAATTGTTCAAAACAAATTTTTTTAGGAAAAGAATATGACTAGGAAAAGACCTCTTAGGAACGTGGTGAGGATGTGAGACCTTTACGAAATTGATCAGTATGATCGAACTGTGGAAATTCATGGAATTACTTGTTTATGTGAAATGTGTGGAGTCTGATAGCATCTTTGAAATATCTATATGTGATAGAATTTAGATAGAGACTTAGTGAATAAATTGTATACTTATGATAGCGTAAAGGCCTTCTAAGTGTCTTAGTACTTTTGAGACTCGTGAAATTAGAAGCTAAGTGGTCAAATTCGTGGAAGTCTTATGGTCATGTCGTTTGACCAAATATACCACTTGGAAAAGCTAGGTCGGTACGCGCAAACGCTACCCTGAGTTATTTGATTAAGGTAATATCTTAGTCACAGGGACGTAACCCCTCTTTAAGGGGAATAGAGTGTAATACTTCGTAACATTAATTAAAACTTATGCTTCGGGGCGAAACATCTTTTAAGGAGGGTAGAATGTGACACTCCGAAAATTTTAATATAAGAAAATATATGGTTTTATTTGTCAAATAAAATATTACAAAGTGACATTTTATTAAGAGAATAAAATAAAATTTTAAGAAAAGTGACATTCTTATAATAAATTTAACAATGTAATGATTTTTCTTTTTCATAAATAATATGGAGTAGGAGGAAAATTATTAGGAATGATAGTTCAAAAGATGCCGATTGATACAATTAATTCTATTTGTACAATTATATGTCTATAATAATACACACGTTGACCTTTCAACCTAATATACCTATACAACTCCATATATAACTCCATAAACATACGTACTCATAAACTCGCACAAGGAAACTATGGATAAAAAAAAACATTTATATTGCCTACCATATTTACTAATGCTAATCGCACATGTGTATACTCGTACGAATAGCGTCCAAATACACTCCAACCGGTGATTTTCGCTCAATGAAAGCCGGAAGCAAATACCCACGTAAAAAGCGGATCGCATAACCTCCAACATTCAAACCGATCGGATGAGCTCAAAAGAAACCCTAAGTATGCCAAGAACTGTATAAATACTGGCCTCAACCTTCACTTCCTTTCATCCAGAGCAAATCTCGATCATTATATATACACACATAAATACGTATATATACATATATACACACACACACACACACACACACACAAATTTCGACCCTTCGTTTTAGCCATAACCGAGCCCCTAAAACACTTCTGAGACCTTCCCCTGCTTGAGAGGAGTCCAACGGAAAAAGAATCATTGAAAATGATCGTGAAACGACGGAGAACGAGCTTGCCGGAGTTCCGCCGGGCTAACCGTAAAAACGGAAAACGGAGAAGAAGGAGGAGCTGCCGCTGCCGCCAACCCATCACTGACCTTCGCCGTCCCCAAACGAGTCTTCTACCACCACCGTATCACGAATCTGTCGAGGTAACCTCCCTTCTCCCCCTGCGCATCTTGTTCCGTTAAACTCACGAGGAAGAAGAAGTGAAGAACAGTACTTTGTTCTATTTTTTTTTTTTTTTTTTTTTTTTTTTTTTTTTTTTTTTTTTTTTTTTTTTTTTTTTTTTTTTTTTTTTTTTTTTTTTTTTTTTAAAACCCAGTGGCAAACCATCACAGGATGGGGTAAGGGCTGGGGAACACCTTACCATTTATTAAGGCTTAGAGGGAGCTAGAGACACGGTAGGAGGACTAGACCAAAGCCTACCCGGAAAAGAAATCTATATAATATAAGGAAAAGCAATAGCATCGAATTTGAGAATATTGCTGAATTTTTTGGATTGTACGTCAACTCCCATGCTAATTTCTTTCGCAGCGCAGTTGACCTTTTCGTTAACAAGACTGATCGTGATGTGGTTTTGATGCAAAATCCTTCTAATGCAAGAGATGATGAAAATTTGATCCCAATTTTGCACACAATGAAGATTAATGGCTTGGAAGACTTGGGCATTATCTATTTGGATGTTGGAGTAGTAGATCCTCCTGTCCCTGCAGAAAATGAGAAAGTCGTAGTATGCCTCTATGAAAGCCCTCACAGTGGAGGAGGAAAAAAGGTTGCTTTGGTGGTGAAAGATCATAACACCGTTGTGGTTCCTTATCAAAAAACCGAAACTATGTGAGAGCCCATTTTTGGTGTGGCCAATGTTAAGGGTTCTATGGTTATGCATTGGAGGATTCCAGGACACCACTTGGGGTCTACTTTTAGGGGCCTTATTAGGTCTTTTAGTGTCCTGGATGGAAAATATCTCCCGCCGAATGTTGTAAATGGCCTCAGAGTAGTTAGGGGAGGAATCATCATAAAGGGTGCTGTTTCTCAGCTTCCAAAGGTTCCAAAGAATGACAATATAGGTTATAAAGGATTTATGATGGGTCCAATTAAGTATGTTGTCCATTAAGTTGCCATCCAACCGATGACTCTTAATATTAAAGTAACTCCAAATTGGAGTGTGAGATGGGCAACTCAAAAAGAAATGGTTAATAGAGTCATGGTGGTTGCAATGAGGACACTTAAAAGGCCCATAAAACCCCATTTTCTGGAGCGAGTCAGCACACACAATAAGATTGTTAGTGACCCGCCAAAGGAAGAAAGAAATCTTCTTTGGAATCGGGTTCTTCCACAAAAGATCAAGATTTTTTATCTTGGGCCTTTTCTTCCTTATCTCATCATAGGCCGTCTTAAAGGAGAAATCACCATTAGGGGCGCGGGTCCAGTGAGTAGTGTCAGGTGTCTCTTCAAAGGAAGGACTGTTGTTAATAAGGGCCGTGCTAACGTGGTGAGGTAAGTCACCGACATGACTGTGAATATGCTCATAGGCCTCTCTAATAGTGATGGGATCATGGGGCTCATGGGACAGTCTGTAGAGAGGCCCAAAAGGACTCCAATTGGAATCCCAGAAGAGGCTGCATCCGTTATTGACCTGAATTCTAGTGTTGGCACTATATAAATTATACACAGAGACCATTGGAGGCCAGAAAACAGAAAGATTATAAGAACGTAAGGAATTGAAAATAATAGCCCAAATGCTGTTTCCATGGTCTTTTTTCCACCAGAGTTTCAAATAGAAGCTGTCCTGGATGTCCTGCAACCTGCGAAAACCCAAACCGTTCTCATTAAAGGGGTATGAGCAGTTAGCCCAAGACCTCCAACTAAAAGTGCTTGAGGAGTTAAGATCGTTTTGCCAAAGGAATTTAATGCAGCGTTTTTCAATGTCTTTAAGGACCCCTTTGGGGACCTTTGAGGAGGCCATAGTATAGAGGGGGAAGGTGGCCAGAACATGTTTGATCAATATTATTTTGCCGGCTTGGGAGAGAACTTTGTTCTTCCAGCTATTAAGGCGTTGATCAATCCTAATCACATGATGTGAGAAGTAGATTTTTTTAGCTCTTCCTAGATAGATGTTAACCCCCAGATACATGAAAGGGAAATTTCCTTTATTCATTTTAGAGACATGTTTAATCATATTAATAGTCCTAGCAGGGGTCTTGGGACCCGTAAAGAAAGAGCTTTTATCAGAATTAATTTTCTGACCAGACAACAGTTCATAATGGTTGAGAAGCTTAAAAAGTTTTTGCAAAGTATGTTTACTGCCATTAGAGAAAATTATCAAGTCATCAGCATAAGCTAAATGAGAGATAACAGGAAGACCAATGTGCGAGTAATAAGGTTTACCTCCACCGTGAGTGTAAAGATGGTTGAGATTCCTGGTGAGGACTTCAGAAACAATTATAAAGAGCATAGGAGAAAGCGGATCACCTTGTTTGACCCCGCGGGTGGGATTGAAGAAACCGTGAGGGACTCCATTTATAAGAATAGAAAACCAAGTCCCTTTTAAGTTGTTGAGGATAAGATTAATGAAAATAGGGTGAAAACCAATTTTTTCCAAAACAATCTTAAGAAAGCTCCAAGAAATGCGGTCAAAAGCTTTAGTCATGTCTATTTTGAAATACACATTGTGACCCGGAACTTTTTTAGAAAGACATTGGGTGAGTTCTTTCATAGCCAGTATGTTGTCGGATATTTCTTTCCCTTTTTGAAAGGCACTCTGGTTAGGGGAAATAATTTTGCCTAGAAGAGGGGTGAGCCTGATAGTAAGAATTTTGGTAAAGATTTTATTAATAAAATTACTTAGACTAATCGGTCTAAATTTTTGGAAAGTGTCAGGTTTAAAATCCTTAGGGATAAGGGTAATGAAAGTGTGACCTATACTTTTGGGAATGGGAACTCCGCAAAGGAACTCTCTGGTGGCATTTAAGAGGTCATGTTTGATAATATCAAAGCAATCATGGTAGAAACAACCATTAAACCCATCGGGACCAGAGGTGCTATTTTTATTAAGGTCAAACACAGCAGTTTTAAGATCAGTGAGGGTGATAGGACCAAGAAGGGACTGGTTGTCCTCCTCAGTAATACTAGTGGGAAGATGGTGAAGAATGGTGTTAAGGTCAGTTGTCTGGGGTGCCTTTTCCTGAGTAAAAAGAGGCCTAAAGAAGTCCACAGCAGCTTGGCCAATAAGGGATTGATCTTCTATCCATTGACCCTCAGAGTCTTTAATCTTATGAATGGAGAGTTTGGCATGTTTAGATTTGACATAATTGTGAAAGAATTTGGAGTTGGTGTCACCGTCTTTCAACCAGTGAACTCTGGCTTTTTGTTTTAGAAAAGTAAAGATGTCTTTTTGCTTAAGAATAAATTCAGCCTGAGCTTTTTTAAAAGCGTTTTGATTATCCAGATTATCTAAAGAAATAAGATTCATCTCTTTTAGGGAAAGATCTTCTTCAGCTTTAGTTAGGTTTTGAAAAATGTTGCCAAAAGTATTCTGGTTCCAGACCTTTAAAACCTTCTTAAGCCTTTTCAGTTTTTGAGAAAAAAGATACATGCCATATCCATCACAAGATTGAGACCAAGAGTCTTTAATAATTGAAGAATAATCTTTATGATAGGCCCACATATTCTGGTATCTAAAAGCTGTGGGGTGGGGGAGGGAAGTTTGAGGTTTTATTTGAAATAGGAGAGGAGTATGGTCTGAAGATATAAAGGACAGTTTAGTGCAAGTAATAATTTTACCACTTTGGAAGAGATGTTGGTTAATAAGGACCCTATCCAGTTTTTTAAAAACAATTCCACCAGAGCGCTTTCCCATCCAAGTGAAATTCCCCCCAACAAGAGGAACATCAAAGAGATCATTATTGTTAATAAAGGAATTGAAATCAAAAATGGAAGTGGGATTAGGGGTAGATTTACCTTTGTACTCAGCAATATCTCTTATCGTATTGAAATCACCCCCCAGAAACCAAGGGTGATTACCAGTAGAGTTGTGAAAAGTAGTTAGATCATCCCAGAGAGATAATCTATTCATTCTGTCACAGCTAGCATAGATAAAGGTAAGATAAATCACAGAATTAAGGTTAGATTGATCAGCTTTACAGTTAATACATTGATTAGTTTCAGAAAGGACAGTAAGATTAATGTTGTTGTCCCAGAAAAGCCAGATTTTATTAGAGGAATGGCAGTGATGATTGTGAAGTTGAATGGTATTTTGAAGGGTGGTAATCTGGTCAGGATGCCCCATCGGTTCAAGGATGGCAATAATGTTGGGGGAGTGGGAATTATTAAGAGTGGAGAGTCTGTTTTGGGTATCTTTGTTAGAGATCCCTTGGGCATTCCATATGATAGCTTTAATCATTAGAAACTTGGGGGGTAGTAGAGTCTATGATGTTTTTGGATGTTGAGCTCCTAGTGGTTCTTTTGGAAGTGTGTGGTGTCTGCAATTGGGCCTTTTGGGTTAAAGTTAAGGGGGGTAAAGATTTGAGAGTTTGGTGGTCTGGTTCAGAGAGGGGGGAATCAGTTTGAGGGATGTTTTCGACAATTTGATTGTCTTCAGAATCAGACAGGGAGGCAAAGGTGTTGGTGATAGTAAGTGGTGGGGGTTCAGCATGAGGTTGGCCAGTCTGGGTTTGATCTTCAGTAAGGGGTGACATCCCATTGGAGTCTCCATTACCTTGCTGATGAGTTGGTTCAGAGGGGCTGTCATCATAACCAGGTGTGGCCTTAGGGATCAACTCAAGAGTATCATTGTTGTCCCCAGTGTCAAGGGCAGACTGTTGTACATTAATGTGCTCTGAAGGGGAAGTATGGGAGGGGAGGGATGTGGGGAGAGGATTGGGGGGGAGGGGTGTGGTGGAGTGGGATTGGGAGGGGGAATGGGGGGGATGGGGATTAGGGATAGGGTTGAGAGGAGGGGGGTTGTTGAAGGAAACACCCAAATTAACCTTGTCCTTCCCTTTCCTCAGCCATTTGGAAAGATCTTTGTTAGTATCAATAGTTCCTGCATCTTGAGAAGAGGTGTTAGTTACCAAAAACTCAGAATTTTTGGACAGAAGGGCCTTATCAGGGGGGTTTTTATACTGTAAGGGGCATTGAGGGTCTTGGTGACCAAATCTAAAGCATCTTTTGCAGTATAGGGGCATTTGCTCTTCAATTTTGATGGCTTGCCAGAAGGGTTCATAACCCTCATCCTCCAACCAGATCCGGTCGGGAATAGGTTTGAGTAGGTCTATTTCAACCTGCACTCTGGCCACAGAAGGCCGATTTTTGGCTAAAGTAGGTCGGTCGCATCTCAGGGGTTGGGCAAATGTGGAGCATAGATCAAACAGAAAAGATTCATTAAAAAGATGGAAGGGCAAGTGAGGGAAGTTTATCCAGCATGGGACAAAGGATGATTCCTTGTCCGGATGGTATCCAGGATACCATTTGGTGATGGTCATGGTTTTGCCTGAAATAATCCACGGATTCCTGGATCTGCATCTTATATAGTCTTCCTTGTTGGAGAAGGAGATTATAATCTCTTTCTCGTAAAGTAGACCAACGTTAATTGAATGAAAATTAAGAGATTCAAAGAATTTACGAATGATTTCCATTGAGGGCCTGCCTTTAGAGAACTTACCAACGAGAGAGAATCGAAGATCATGGGCAAGGAGATCTGACCTTTTCTTTGGAATCTTCACCGCTATGTAGCCGCGGTGTTTTCCGACGACCAAGTCCATAGAGGGATCTGGGATCGTTGGTTGAGTATGTTTCCCTGGTGTTACACCAGTAACTACTCCCGCCCAGGATCGTGTAGGTGGAGGCGGATCCCCATCAGAGTGAGATGCCATCGTTGCAACGGAGGAAACCCTAGGGTTTCCGCCGAGGGTTGTGGAAGTAAAAAGGGCGAATTAGAGAGATGTAGAGAGAAGGTGGAGCGTTTTGAGCCAGTACTTTGTTCTAAAAGTTGGGCTGGCACTTTGTATTCTCTGGGCCGAAACTCCTAAGTAGTAATAATAATAATTATAATAATAATAGTAATATGTAGTAATAATAATAAAAATAGTAATAATAATAATCTGCAAAATTGATAAATTTGAGATGAGAAGTATTAATGGTGAAATTGGCTGGATTAATTGATAGTAATCACTTGGATAAATTTGTTAATTGTTATTTAACATAGTTACATAATGTTAAATAATAAAAAGTAAATTGATGGTTTAATTAATAAAAATTGATTAACAAATATTATATTAAAATTATAATTATTTATTTGGACTTAGTAGATAAAATTGGATCGATATTGTTTTCACTAATTATTGGAATGATT